AATTGTCTCCATTGGCAGAACTTCAGTTTGCCGTGCGGATTGTTTTACGGCTTGAACAAAATCTGCAAAATCGTATAGTTTGTTACCCATCATTTTCATTGACAGTTCAACTTTGTGATAAAACGAATCCGCGGCCATAAATGTATGGCCGGGCTCGAAATATTTTATAATAATTTCATTAGCATTAATTTTATTAGAATTACCAATGTATAGCAAAAATGAAAAGAATTACCAATTCTTATTTTGAGCAAAGCAATTATCAAGCCATAATGTTATTTTCTTCTCTCTTCACAAGAAAAAACTGGTAAAACGTATTTATTAATTCATCTTTACTGCGTTTAAACCAGGCATCCTGCCAAACAGCGGCAAACGTTTTGTCATTTTTTTTTTGACAATTGGTACAAAGCTCTCATTATAAACTGTTCTGTCTGTGAAAATTGCAGTTTTAAAAGTTTCCAGTCTTGGCAGTATAATAACTTTTTCAATATCTGCGCAGTATATAATCTTACCTGGTTTATTTGGTTGACTACCATCATCTTTGTAATTTTAACGCGACTTTGTTGCTCTGTCTATATGTTTTTTCCAATTGTTACAATTATCACAGGTTTCGTCAAGATTATCTTTTGTGTGACTTTTACCATGTAGAGATAGCTCGTAATTGTGACTCGGCTGCTTCCGTGATTTGATCACATAATTTAGTCACTATTTCTAACTTAACATTTTCTACTTCTGACGTAAGGCGGCATAAATCTGCTTGCTTCTTTGAGAGCCTGAAAGTGAACTGGCACAAAAGACCTAGAAATATCGAGAAAAACTGGCCTTTCCGATTGTACGTGTATGGCAGGGGTGATTTCTGTTACACAATTCCCAGAGTTTATGTCGTTATTCAAATTAATGTCGTTATTAATATTAAGTTCTTTACTGAACTTACTTGCCGTGTCGCTACTACTATCATTTTCCGAATCAGGGTCAGTCGGATAATAATCTAAATCTCCTGAAACCTTACGGTTTTTATTTTTTTTCTTGGGTTAAAATGCTTGTTTAGTTTCCTTATTCAGCGCCAACATGACCAGTTTTTTTCCTCAAAATCCTTGTGTTATGTCCATTGAATCTGAAAGGGAAAGGAGAGTTAGTTTTAAGTATTTTTAATAATAAAACTATTTCTGGATTTTTTTAAGATGTACCGGGTGGTCCAATAAGCCGATTGCTCGGCTATATATCAGAAACTATTCATGTTATAACTTGGGGAGAAAATATTCCTTAGTTAAACTGACCAAGAGAAATCGCTGGAAATAACTTTCAAGTTTCTGGGTTAACCGCTAGGGGGCGTAATCAGTGAAGAAAAATTTGAAAACCAGTTTTTTGTAAAATATGCCCAATTATACCAAGTGTTAAATAAGTGAAATAGAAAGAGGGCTAAATTCCGCACATAGTTGTTCAAGTACTTTTTTTTTATTTTTTCAAATAAAGGGTGGGGAGGGTGGCAAAGTATTTGTGGATAAATACCTATAACTTTGGTTTGGATCAACCGATTTTAACGAAATTAGTGTCATTAGAAAGAGTGTGGATAATTTAATTTACATCTACTATAAAACCATTGCATTTAATCTTAATTGTCATGGGTAGAGGGTACTTTCAAATAGAAAAAATTAAAATTGGTTTTTCTTTAAAATGTTTAATGGAAACACCTATTTATTGTTAATTATAACTGAACTGGATTAAATTCGTAACAAAATGGCACAAACCGCATGTTGATAGCTTTTGTCAAACTCGAGATATGAATAAAAAGGCATAAACATAAGTATAGTATTGACTCACCCTTTATTATAACTTAAAATTAAATATGTGAAAGAATATACAAATATCTCCATAATTAAAACTTAATGTCCAATTAAATGTTCAAATTGTTTTCCATCGTTGAACCCACAAAGATGTAATCTTTCGCGCGTAGACATAACAGCTGCTTCAATCTCAGCTCTTGATATATTATTTATTGCGTTTATAATGCGCTGTTTCATGTCATCCCGTGTGGTTGGTCGAGTTTGGTACACTAAGTCCTTCAATCTTCCCCACAGATAAAAGTCCAGACATGTTAAGTCTGGAGATCTAGCTGGCCATGAAAATATACTTCCCCTTCCAATCCATTTATTTGAATAACGTGCATACAAATAATCTCGAACTCGTCTGGAAAAGTGCGCAGGACACCCGTCATGTTGTAGTATCATATCTCTTCTTGTTTGTAAGGAAATATCTTCCAATAAAACAAGCAACTGATTTTCCAGAAAATTCAAATATGTTTCGCCATTTAAAGTTCTATCAAAGAAATATGGACCTACGATCTTTCCATCAACTATACCACACCAAACATTAAGACTCCATCTACCTTGAACCTCCATCTCATGTATCCAGTGCGGATTTTTTTCAGCCCAATAATGCATATTATGCAGATTAACACCACCCGCACTATTAAAAGTAGCCTCGTCTGTCCACAAAATCTTTGACAGGATATCCGGTTGTTCTTCTAGCAGACCTAACATCCAATTGCAGTAATCCAGCCTTGCATCAAAATCTCTCTCATATAAAGCTTGGTGGAAAACTACATGATAAGGATGCAGTCTAAAAAACAGAACAATAAATATTGGTGAAAAAGAAACCACTACATTTACTAAAACTCAAAAATCTTAAAAAATCCAAAATTGTTTCATAAGATAAATCGTGCATAATTATTTTTAGGAAACGGATAAAAGGATAAAAGCGCCGTGTTGCCGTTTTTATGGAAATATTAAAATAACAGTTGAATCTAAAGTTTAAAGGGAATTCCAAGTTTCTGACCTAAACTTTCACTTTATAGTATGAAAAACCAACCTGTGATGTTTTAAAATCCTTAGAACAGTAGTTTTGGGTATGTTTAATTCTATAGAGATTTGCCGATTACTTATATGTGGATTCTGTTGAATTAAAGCAAGAACATTGATTGAATTATCTTCGGTCATACCTCTACTACGTCGTTTAAAACAAGGACGATAAAAACTACCAGTTTCTCTTAATCTTCTTGCCTTTCTTTCAAATACTTCTTTGCCATAATGTCTCCTGTCAGGATATCTTACAGAATATATACGTGATGCAATAGCGGCATTTTGGTGACATTCAAAATAAACTCCAATCATATCATACAATTCTGCATTGGATATACTCATCCTGAATTATTAGTACTGATAGTTAATTACTAATATTACCAATATTAATATCTATTGAAAAAGTGCAATCTTCAATTTGAATTATAATATAACACCTCTTAACAATGTTTTGACTGCTGTCAATAAATAAACAATATGATCTCCCAGTCAAATTCATTGTCGTAGCCTACTTAGTTTCGAAATAACTATTTTTAATCATCTGAAATAACAAGGGTCAAAATGGATATAAATATTAATATTCTTCTGCTATAAAAAAATTTGAAAATACCTACTGACTTTTTTTTAATTTAATTTATAATACAGGGTGAGTCAATACTATACTTATGTTTATGCGTTTTTATTCATATCTCGAGTTTGACAAAAGCTATCAACATGCGGTTTGTGCCATTTTGTTACGAATTTAATCCAGTTCAGTTATAATTAACAATAAATAGGTGTTTCCATTAAACATTTTAAAGAAAAACAAATTTTATTTTTTTCTATTTGAAAGTACCCTCTACCCATGACAATTAAGATTAAATGCAATTGTTTCATAGTAGATGTAGATTAAATTATCCACACTCTTTCTAATGACACTAATTTCGTTAAAATCGGTTGATCCAAACCAAAGTTATAGGTATTTATCCACAAATATTTTGCCACCCTCATCCACCCTTTATTTGAAAAAAAAAAGTACTTGAACAACTTTGTGTGAAATTTAGCCCTCTTTCTAGTTCACTTATTTAACACTTGGTATAATTGGGCATATTTTACAAAAAACTGGTTTTCAAATTTTTCTTCACAGGTTACGCTTGCTAGCGGTTAACCCAGAAACTTGAAAGTTATTTCCAGCGATTTCTTTTGGTCACTTTTACTAAGGAATTTTTTCTCCCCAAGTTATAACATGAATAGTTTCTGATATATAGCCGAGCGATCGGCTTATATGTACCACCCGGTACACCTTATTAAACGTAAACAGTAAAAAGACGAATAAACACAGACAAAAATGCTGCTCAGACAAAGACGACCGCACATAAGCTCTTCATTATATATTTATAACCTTAAAATATATGTCTCGCCTCTTTTGAGATATGATTAAACTATGATTCTGCGAAATTTTATAGAAACACCTTAAAACGTTATTAGTTCTTAGGCGCTTTTTACTTTATCGATGTCTTTCTATTATGGTGCTCGCCAAAAATATGATCTAATTGACTAAACAAAATTAAAAATAACTACTTACCTGTCGAGAGGCTCTTGTAGCCGATATGTCTTCTGTTACAGCTTTATAATCGTCACTGTATTTAGTAAGTCTCACTGTATCTAGTAAGAACCACAATATAAAAATCGAAAAATTTTGAGATACGCCCTCTTGGCTGAGGACGGCAGTATAGTAAACTAATATTAAAAATATTTTGTGGCTGGACAAAATTGCCAAATGTCCTTAACAATATTCGTCAAAAAATTTCACACAGTGTTCTTATTGTTCCTATTGTTCTCATGTATCATTGTAAATAAAATTGAGACAAAAGTTGTTTTAATTTAGAAGCAATAAAAACTTTGATTAAAATAGTAACGCTACTATTTTAAGAATTTATAAATTGTTTTTTGAGCTATCTACATAACCGTATCACGTTTCCAATATTCTCACTCAGTGGCCTATTTCACACAGAGAGGCCTTTTTATAAAAACATCAAAGCGTCTTCGAACCAATAAGTAAATGTTTGTTGTGTAAAACGATGTATTGAGCATTTCCTTTGAACATACACTGTCTATGCAACTCACGGTGGATTCCATTTAAGTGTCACATCTCATTCTTTTCAGATTGGACGTCCCGGTCAGGGTTTTATGAACTTACGGGGCATACTTCCCACTAGCAATGATTTTACAAGACCAATAAGGACTAAAAGAACTATCGAGGAACATCATGTTACGGGTAAGTGAATTTTTTTTTGACAAGTACAGTTGTTATAAATAACCGAGATATTTGGAATTTAGCTAACATTTTCGAACCATATTACGGTTAATTAAAAACAATTTAATGAATTAAAAGGATATTCGATTTAATTTATTTAAACATAATTTTCAAAATAATTGTAAAACATAATGTGAATTTTGGGATTCTTCCTGAAAAAATTAATTAATTATTAAATTATTAATATTCTTGAAATTTTGTATATTTAAATTATTTATTGGTAAATAAATAAACTTTTATTTATCCAGTTAATGTGAAATAAGTGAAGAGAAAATGTTTCCGACAGGGAAAGGACCAGGAACAAATCATTTTCAGTACCCTACAGTGCAGTTTCCAACTGTAATGCAGAACAAGCCTACAAATCTAGTACCTCCGTACTACCAAGTAAGTCCAATTAATACTCAAGAATCACCATTGTGGTCAAATCAACCAACAGTCAACCAAATGATACTTTTTGATAATTATCAACAACAATATCTGGTACAGCTAGTAGTTGCCCAGCAAACTCTCAAGCTAACTTAAAAAACAATCCAGAAACACAGAATGAATATGATACGATGTCAGATAAAGATCATGAACACTCTCAAAATAATGAACACCCATCTCAAACAATAAGATCAAAAAGAAAAAGGCTTAAACGTCAAGATTCAAGAGAATAAGACGCTCCAATTGCACTCTCAAATAGGTGTCAGCCACTTCCACAGGAAAACTCCGTAAATGATACGAATAAAAATTCACCAATCTCAAAACCCCCACCAATTTTTATATATGGCGTAAATGACTATAGTAAAATGATAGATAATTTAGCTCAAGCAGTAGAAGTAGAAACTTACTTCACGAAAGCCTTAACAAACAATACAATAAAAATTTTACCAAAGACATTTGAATGCTACAAAAAACTAATACATCACGTACAAGAAAAAAAAATCGTCCAGCATACATATCAATCTAAGGAAGACAGAGCATACAGAGCAGTTATTCGAGATCTACATCACTCTTTTCCGATAGATGCAATAAAAGCGGAAATCTAGAAAAAAACACAGATTGCGCCGTGAACCATTACCACTATTTTTTTTGGACCTCGAGCCCTAAACGAATAACAAAGAAATACACGATGTCAAGAATAAGGTCACACTAAAACATACTGTGCAAAACCATATAATTGCATAAACTGCGCTGGATCACACAACACAAAGGACTGCGAGAAACCAAAAAACACACCAGCAACTTGCACTAACTGCAACGGAGACTATCCTTCTAATTACAGAGGATGTGATGTTTATCGTGAACTACTAAATGTCAGATACCATGACAAATTAAAACAAATCCCTACTTAAAATCCTGTCAACAATCTCAATGTAAATATACCGACCCAACAGCATGCTCATAATTTCAACAGAATCAGCTATAGAGATGCTACCATTGGAAACATCAAAGCAGATAACAAAAATAACAACAATGAATTAGCAAATAAACTATCAAATTTCCTAAACAAATTCAAAAATATGTTCTGTCAACTCTTAACCCAAAATAGCATGATTTGTTAACCATGTTAACTACAGCCATTAACACAATTACAAAATAGCTCTCAAGTCACTACGAATTGCATCGTGGAATGCTAATGGCATTTCAAACCATATATTAAAGGTATCACTGTTTTTAAAAATGTATAATATAGACATTCTATTAATATCTGAAAGTCATGCCACACAAAGAACGGTTATTAAGATACCTTACTATACCGTGTATTATGCAAACCATCCAGACGGAGGAGCACATGCAGGTTCTGCCGTTATTATTAAATCGAAAATTAAACACTATGCAGTCCAACCTAAAAATTCAAGCCGCAATCATTAAAATCGAAACAAACACCTCCCTCGGTATATCATCAGTCTACAGCCCACCTAAAAATCCAATTTCAAGCGAAGAGTATCATAATTTCATACAAACTCTTGAATCCAAATTTATAGTAGCAGGAGGAGTAGCACACCACAATAGGTTTCAGATTAATCACGACTAAAGGTCGAACATTATTGAATATCATCCAACAAAATAATTTAAGATACTTATCTACGGAAGAACCCACATACTGGCATACGGATGCCAACATTCCAGATTTGGTAGATTTTGCTGTAACAAAAATGATATCTGACATCTATAGGGCAATGGAGTCAAACTTCGATTTAACATCAGGTCTCAACTTTAAGTAGATACATAATATGGAGAACATCACCAGCAAAACTCACAACTAAAGAAACAAATTGGGATGTTTTCCAAAATTCTGTAAATACAAAAATTAGACTAGATATTAGAATAAAAGAAAACCAAGGTATAGAGAAAGCAGTAGACTATTTAATAACAATTAATTACTATTTATAACTGGGAATAAGCCACAATTAAAGATAAAAAATACGTTTATTGACGTTTCAATTTCCAATTCGGAAATCGTTCTCAAAATACAAACAGTAAATTAAACAAATTTTGTTTTTTGTTACATAGTGAAAAAATTCTTCTAATAATTTAATTTTATCTGACTCATTTATATTGACAATTCAGACATACATTATGCATTTTAAAGTAGACGACTTTAAAATGATATTGTCAATATTGTTGAGTTGCGCTCCTGGGACGACTTTACTATAAGATAGTTCATTAGATTACATGAAATCAACTTTAACTTGAGAATATCCGTCAGAAAAAATCATAGCATGTAATTAATAGCATAACATAGTCATGTGTTTGTCTTTAAAAAGACAAACACATGACATGATGACAGTAAAATTCTCCTGTTAGTGATTCCATAGTAAATTATGAGGGAAAAACCAGGAAAAAAACCATATAATACTATCCCGACATTGTAAGTATTTGTTCGTGAATTTAGTTTACCTTCAATAAACATCAAAATTCTGATTTTATATGTTACGTTATTTAAAAAACATAAATGATGTATCCTCTATATGTTACTGACTTACTAATACTGGTATTTTCTTATTAATAACTTCCTCTTTCAATATTGGTAACCAGATCCTACTACATTCTGTCGAGGAATTTGCGACACAATTGGCCTCATTTAGCATAATTAGAGCCGCTTCTTTGATTTTTCTTTTTTTACCATCCGTTTCTTTTAGGACTATATTTAAATTATTCCATTGAACCCTATGTTCATTATCCCATGCGTGTTTACATATTTGAAATCTATCAAATTCTCTATTTTTAATATAAATTTATATTAAAAATAGAGAATTTGATAGATCTCAAATATGTAAACACGCATGGGATAATAAACATAGGGTTCAATGGAATAATTCAAATATAGTCCTAAAAGAAACGGATGGTAAAAAAAGAAAAATTAAAGAAGCGGCTCTAATTATGCTAAATGAGGCCAATTGTGTCGCAAATTCCTCGGCAGAATGTAGTAGGATCTGGTTACCAATATTGAAAGAGGAAGTTATTAATAAGAAAATACCAGTATTAGTAAGTCAGTAACATATAGAGGATACATCATTTATGTTTTTTAAATAACGTAACATATAAAATCAGAATTTTAATGTTTATTGAAGGTAAACTAAATTCACGAACAAATACTTACAATGTCGGGATAGTATTATGAGGTTTTTTTCCTGGTTTTTCCCTCATAATTTACTATGGAATCACTAACAGGAGAATTTTACTGTCATCATGTCATGTGTTTGTCTTTTTAAAGACGAATTAGATGCTATGATTTTTTCTGGCGGATATTCTCAAGTTAAAGTTGATTTCATGTAATAGAATGAACTATCTTATAAGTAAAGTCGTCCCAGGAGCGCAACTCAACAATATTGGCAATATCATTTTAAAGTCGTCTACTTTAAAATGCATAATGTATGTCTGAATTGTCAATATAAATGAGTCAGATAAAATTAAATTATTAGAAGAATTTTTCACTATGTAACAAAAAACAAAATTTGTTTAATTTACTGTTTGTATTTTGAGAACGATTTCCGAATTGGAAATTGAAACGTCAATAAACGTATTTTTTATCTTTAATTGTCGCTTATTCCCAGTTATAAATAGTAATTAATTTACAATGCCACAAGAAAATAGCTTCAGAAGCATATTTAATAACAGTTTTACAAACAACAAGATGGAAAATAATACCACAGCGCCAAAGAAGTGTGCAAGAAAACCATAATATCTCCCTTCATATAAGAGAACTGGTAGCAGAAAAAATAAGAGCTCGACGCATATGGCAACAAAAGAAAAATTTACTAAATAAAACGTACCTTAACAGGATGTCATAAAATAATAAATATTTTCGAATTTTGAGTTTCTAAAGAACCGAATCTTTCCAGTTTTATGTTTCGAAGCTCTGACATGAAGACCACTCTATATGAGAAGCTACAAAAAAGTTTAAACGACCGATAATAACAAATTCACCTTTAAGAAAAACAGGTATGGCCTGGGCTTGCACAAACGCAGAAAAAACAACAGTATTCGCAGAGCATCTTGCAACTATATTCGCAGCACCAGAGACTAATAACGATGAAGCTGATGATATAAGAACGTGCCTCGAAACTTCTCGTCAACTATCATTTCCTCTGACAACATTTACTCCTACAAAGGTTTGACAACATATAAAAACGTTTCATACCAAGTTTCAATTTTCAAAGTGTGAAGGAATATTTGATAATAAATTATCAGATAGAATTGTAATTTTTGTTGAGGACTGATCTGTATTATCATCAAATAATTTACGTTTGGGTACAATTTTTTTCTCAGTGCTTGGAGATTTAGTGTGGGCGAGAAATATTTTCGAAGATAATTTCAAATTCGCTTCTCTTATAGGTGAATGCTTGAAAATGTCAATAGTATCTTGGTTATTTACAGAGCTTGATGATTTTACAAAAACCTCAATATTGTTCCTTTTACTTTCCTGGTTTAGAGAAGAATACACCTGCAATGCTTTTTTTATTTTTTTTTTT